AGACTTGCTGAGCTTTATCCATTAGATTTCTCTGCAGTAGATGACATTGTACTTAGCGATCAACTTGAGACTTATATTTTGGAGATGCGCTCTAACAAAGAGTTTGAAGGGTTAAATGGCCTTGGTGATCTTGCGGAGAAGTTGGTTTCGACAAAGAAAAATAAGGTATATCCATTGGTTTACAGACTTTTGACTTTAGCATTGATTTTACCGGTTGCTACCGCTACTGTGGAGAGAGTTTTTTCTGCAATGAACATCGTAAAGAATAGATTGCGTAATCGGATGGGTGATCAGTGGATGAATGATAGCACTATTGTTTATGTAGAGAGAGATATATTTTTGAAACTCGATAATGAAGTTATTGTACGACGATATCAAAATATGAAAACTCGCAAGGAACAAGTTTAATATATAAATTATGTCGTTTTTAGTGTTGTTGTAATATTGTTTTAATTTTTTATCATCATTAAATTTATGACCAAAACCTCGAAATTCGGCGTCGAAAAATGATGCCCGCACTGAACATAAATCCTGGCTCCGCCCCTGATCACATTGATCTTGGTACTTGTCACAATGTTTTATTGATCGCTGTATTTTTCACAATGTTTCTAGCTTGTCATTAAACTTTGATTACTTAGTGAAAACTAACATTTAAATGTGTCCATTATGAATATTTGTTATTCACACAATCAATACCATCTAATTTTCAAACAATTGATAATGGAGTGATGGATAATGTAATGATTTTGTAATTTCATTAACTAATCGTGAATGTTTTAAAATTTAGTGACCAACAACAAACATTACGAAAAATATGGCGATTATAGATGCATTTAACTTGTGAACTTTGTAACTATGACCCCCTTACAAATACATAGGCCTGTCTTGAGTATCTATAAAGAGGAACATCACTCACATTAAAATTTTGTTTGACAAAATTTATAAATTATTATGTAATGGTCAAATTTCATTCTTAATTTAACACCGAAATGACTCCATAAGTATTATTCATTTATTCACCCTAATTTTCTATCTATTTATAAATTAAATCGTTTTTAAATTCTTTCCAATCATATATTTTTGGCTTATGCAAAGATGGTAAAGTCAAAGCCTCGGACGGTTGATAAAGCTCGAGCACATAATAACTTGTAATCCCGCACGTACTGTGTCACCAATGACCATACGAGATTACGAGTCTCGAACATCCCAATACGACATCGGATTATACTCAAAATTAGAGATTTTTACACATTCGTCTCTTTGCAAACCATAAACCCTAAATTAGACGCCATTTGCATTTCTATTTTATAGTTTATATCATCCATTTTGCTGAATCTCAATCAGAAAATCTTAATCGAAATGGCGTATGCTTCTGCTTTCCGTCGTGTTCTGAGCGGATCTTCCACTCCTTCGCCGATTTTTCGCTCACAATTCGCTTGGATTCGCCACAATTCTACCCTTCCTACGCTCACCAGTCCTAAGCTTTTCATTAGCGGTATGTATGCTTTCACACACACGTAATTGCGTATCTACGATATACTTTACTTTTGCTTGTAATACTAGTTAACACCTAATCCTTTATCTATATTGAAGTCTGAACTTTGTTTTCTTCTGTCAGTATTTATTGGTTTACTTTTTCAGTACTTTCTTCACTGTTGTATGCAATTTGGAATATTTACCTCATGTAGGAAGAAGTGGAACATGCCGAGAATTATAAATTGTAGCAATCAATTGCAGAAAGAAAAATAAACACTAAGAATGCGTAAGATTTATAGAGTTTCGACTTAATTTGAGATTACATCCTCTCTGCATTAATTCACTAGGAATAAAGAAGGTTTACAGGGGAAAATTGCACACCAATATTTCTAACCTTTCTTTCTCTCTTTATTATTAGTAATATTATTATTTGATGATAATAATAAAGCGCTCCCTATTTATGATATAAATTAGGGTAAAATCAAACTTTACAATAATACAAATTTCTAAATTGTCCTTAATGGAATTTTGGTCTGGGTGCTCATACTGCGACCTCACCATAACCAGCTTCGTGAAGCGACAATAACTAGGATAGCCTATAATTAGACTTCATACAATGTTGAGTTACAAAACTGTTGATACTACACAATTTTGTTAGAAAAGGAAATGGTTCTTTAGCCTTATCTAGATGTTGTGGCATGCAAAATTTTCATGTATTTCTTTACATTCCGGGAATATGTTTCCTGTTTATTCCTTAAAGCTAAAAGTTGCTTTTCGACCTTTTAAAAGCTGGAAATCTGAAAAATGAGCTTGGGGTGGAATAGGTTAGTGAAGTAAAAAAAAAAA